TGCACTCCAGTCTGGGTGACAGAGTGAGACTCCAACTCAAAAAAAAAAAAAAAAGCTATTACTGCAAGCCATTACATCAATAAATTAAAGCAGAACTCTACAGAACTTAAAAAAAATTTGGCTGCGTTCCTCACCCAGGCCAACTTTTTCCAACTTAGAAGAAAAAATCCTTATCTACACTAAAACATTAGCTGTAAAGATAAAACAAAAGCATTCTTTTCAGAAGCAAGGAAAGAACATCCGCTATTACTGGCAGAATACAGCATGTGTGGGTGCTCCTAGTCGCTGCAATGAGGCCAGTAATGGCAACAAGAGGGAAGGATCAAAAAGGACTACGAGAAACCTACTATTTGCAGATGCTGATTCCCAGGAAAGAAAACGCAACAAAATCAGATGGAAAACCTATCACAGAGCTAACACGAGATCTCAGAAAGATGGCCAAATGTGAGCTCTAACACAAACCAGCAACTTTCTATTTGACAATAACTGATTAAAAAATGTAACAGAGGCCAGGTGCGGTCGGGGGCCCACACCTGTAATCCCAGCACCTTGGGAGGAGGAGGTGAGAGGATTGCCTCAGCCCACAGGTTCCAGACCAGCCCGGGCAACTCAGCAAGACCTCATCTCTATAATAACAAAAAAAAGAAATCAGCCCAGCATGGTGGTGTGTACCTGTGGTTCCAGCTACTTGGAAGGCTGAGGCAGAAGGACCACCTGAGCCCAGCAGGTTGAGGACGCGGTGGCCGGGAGCGTACTACTGCACTCCAGCCTGGGTGACAGAGTGAGACTCCAACTCAAAAGAAAACAAACAAAACAAAAAAAGAAAAAAAGAAAACCACAGGAAGGGAGCAAGGGATACAAAAGCAGAACTCCCACAAGAAAGACAAATGGGTCAAAATGTTAAAATACCCTGACCACACTACATCAAAACAATGAGACACCCGGCACCTCAGCTGGCCAAATCAAGTGACAGAATACCCCACATGAGTAAACCTTCCGTACACTGTCAGAGACTGTTAACTTTCAGTCTACCAGGAAGGCAACATAACACTCCCTAACCAACTTTGGCCCAACAATCTCACTTCTAGAAACATACAACATAATTATACACAGACACGTATGAGAAAGAATGTTTATGCATTACTGATCGCTGCAGGAAAAATACTAGAAACAACCTAAACACGTCTGATATAATGTCTGAAAAAATTATGGCACACTTATACTCTGACATACTATGAAAATATGGTAAAACCTACATGAATTGAAAAAAAGTTAATGAATAAAACAAGAAATTCTCAGTGTACTGTATATGTGAAATCATGTCATATGTTACAAAAAACTGTGCGTGTGTGTGTGTGTGTGTGTGTGTGTGTGTGTGTGT